GGCTGGCGGCGGGAGGCGCTGCAGGGGACGCGGGGGAAGTGGCGGCGCCGGCCGCGGACAGCGCCGACTGCGCCCAGGGCTGGACCCGAGCTCTCGGAGGTAGGCGAGCGCCGACACCGGGGAGACGGGGTGAGGGGACGCGGGGTCACGGAAAGCCACCTAGCGCCCCCGCTCAGCCCCCTTGTCCCCGCCCTGCTCTGTCCATCTCCATCCCCCGACCTGGCCCCATCCCCCACCTTCCACATCCCGTCCCTTCTCTCCGCGGTCACCTGCCCTGAGCTGGAATAAGCATCCGTGTTGCTGTGTGCGTGCTCCAGCCTGCTCCCCACCGGCTCCCCAACCCCGCCCCCCCACACCCTTTCCATCTCTTGGCAGCATCCCCTCCCCCTTTCTTCAACCTCGCCCTTTCCACCGCCCTTTTCCCCCTTCTCTCTCGGTCAGGCCTTGGCCTGGAACCCAGCCCTTCTGTCTGTTTACCTTCACACCCCACTTTGTGTGACCCCTTGTCTCTGTTTTTCCTACCTGGCTCAGCCCCACTCTCCTTGCCCTCTCCAGTCTCATCCCCAGCCCACCTCTGTCAGTCCTTGTAGGGCTCCCTGTTAGCTCTCTCGCACTCTCCTTCCAACCCAGGCCCCCTCTGCACACTCTGTCCTGCTGCCTTGTGCTGCTTCTTGCTCTCCCCCGGCACCCGCACCCACTGGCCACGGTCCCTCTCAAGAACACCATCTTCTCTCCTTGGGCCTTAGGAGGCCTGCCTCCCAGTCACCTTTCCCATCTGCTCTTCCTGGTGCTGCTGGTAGCCACGAGGCTTGCTTTGAGCCCCTCACAGGCCCGTGGGCCCTCTTCCCTGCCTGAGGCCTAGTGCAACTCCAAGTTGCAGAATCCATTCTAACCCCTTTCTGCATGTTTGATGCAATTCAGGCCTTGAGGGTGAGGTCTGCGGGGGGTTAGTAGGTCTCGGGTGGGTTCCTCTTCAGCCTCCTTCTCCCTAGCTGTTCAGGTTTATTTCCTCGATGGACCTGGGGGCCCGCAGGAAGAGGTTCTGCTGAACACCGGTAGGGAAAAGGCAGGGTCCAAGGAGTTGACTGGGTAGCTTCTTCCAGGGTCTTGATCTGCGTCCTGGGATGCACAGACCTGGGGGCCGACCCACTGGAAGCCTGGGGAGTTTTGGATTTTAGGAAGGGATAGCTGTCTCCAGGTCAGCACTTTGGCTTCAGCTGTCATGAGTGTGGCCACGGGCTGGGCCAAAGTGGGCAGAGAGTGCTGAATCACCTAGCCTGGCCCCTCTGGCAGCCCCTCTCCTGCCCCGCGCCAGGTCTGCTCCCATCTTCTCTCTGGGCATTTGGCAACGGCGTGTGTTGGGCAGAGATGCCTTCTCCTTCAGTGTGGAGAGTGGATGGCAGTGCCCCTTTGCTGCCTGTGTGCCTCCTGGCAAGAGGGCTTGGTGTGTCCCAGCTGCCCTGGGAACGTTGCTGAGCCCCGCAGGGGCCGGACACAGCACTATGACACCAACTTGGGCAGGAGCTGAATGGGTTGGTTGGGGTTGGAGGCCGACAACTTCAGAACCACTGCACTCAAGTCCGAGAAGCCTAGGGAGAATGTGTGTAGAGAGTGGAACCACCTGGGATAGGGCTCACCCAGGGGGAGCAAGGGAGGGGGCAGGAGAAGGAGAGCAGTGATCTGTCAGATTGGGCCTGGAGGAGTTGCAGTGCAGGCGGAGTTGGGGGTCTCTGCTGCACATCTGTACCGTCTATCCTTTGAGTTTACACTTCCAGGGAGTAATTTCTCCCCATTGTCTTTGGATTCAGCTGAAGGTGCGTTTATGTGTGTGTGTGTGGTATGTGTGTGTGTGAGGGAGAGAATAACACAAATGAGGAAACTCACTCACACTTAGCTCAGCAGACGATTGTGTTGTCCCCGTGAAACAGGCACCAGCAGCCAGATCCCTGCCTTAGGTATCTCAGCTAACCCTGAGGCTTCAGCTGGAGGTTAAGAGTGGGGGGCTGAGCGGCCCTGCCCTTCTCTGCAAGCCTTCCTCACTTTAGAAATCAGTGTTTGGACTCCTCTGGCTCCTGTGCAGACACTCTGAATGGGACTCGCGGTGCCAGGCAAGGGGGGCGTGCAGCTGGCTGCCTGGCTGTCCTCTGCTTTGTGGCCTTTCCTTGCTGCCTCCACAGGCTGCCAGTGGGGGAGGGAGTGGGGGAGGGAGTCGGGAAGCTCCCTTGGCATTTCCTGGTCTGGGAGGAGGAGGCATCACCTGGAGCTGACTTTGAGAGCTGATTGGATTAAGGTTCTGACATCGAAGTACTTGATTGGAGCTCAGGTTAAGTGGGGGATTCTGATAACAATATACATGTTTCCCAGTGTTGTGTGTGAAGCTCTCCCCTTGTTTGACATCACAAAGGCTATGGAAAGAAAAAAAAAACGAGCCACACAGAAGGGGAGTCACCTCCCCTGTGAATTTCACCCAGCTCCCTACAGTGATGTGGGCTGGCTTATCTGACTGGTTCTTCCATGGCCTATTGAGGAGATGGCTGATTTCTGGGGGCTGGGGTCTCACGGTGAATATCTGAAGGGGGTGTAAGGAGGGCTCTTTTCTTCACTGATTAAAGGGGAGAAGAATTAAGTCTGGTTACACACTTACTCATTTCATTTGGCCCTGCCTGCTAATCGCTGGGGCCTTGGGGATACAGAGGAGGTCGGGGTTCATGGCTCCCAGCTTCAGTGTGATGGGAAAGAGCCCAGTAATCAGACCAGTGACATGGACGAGCGGGAGCCCGGGGTGGGGTGTTGAACAGGACACTTTTCACTGCAGGGGTATTGGCCGGGTCTGGCTATGAAGAGGGTGGTGATGTGCCATCTGGAATGGCAGCTCAGGACTATCGCTGAAGTTGACTGTAAAGAAAAGGGGTGGGGGAAGGAGAGGTGCAAGATGTTTCCAGATCCCCAGTTTTTGGGGGAAGAGAGGGGTGTTCTGTTTGTGGCTGAACTGGACTGGGTGCCGCTTCAGCCTGATGGGAGGGCACCTTTAGGGACCCCTAAGACAAGATCTAGGCTACTTAGCTTGTTCATTTTTGTCTCCTAAGCCCTCGTATTATTTTATTTTATTATATATAATATATATATGTACATAACATCATTCTTCATTTTTGCACAGTTGTACTTTCTCTTCTCAGGTGTACTCCTGTAAAATTCCCACCACCAAGTGCACCATCACCAGAATCCCTGGTGTTCTTCCCACCCCTGTTTTGATCCGGCTACCTCCTGCTTCTCTGAAGAATGTGTCTGATACATAGTTGTTGATTTCGATTTTTTTTAAAGATTTATTTATTTGTGCATACAGAACTGGGGTACAGGCCAGAGGTTCAGGGGCAGCGAGAGGCTTCACCAGAGACAGAGTGGGGAGCAGAACAGGCAGATCAATGAAGTACACTGCTGAGGGAAGCAGCGGGCGGGTCAGGAAAGGTCTGCCGCACCATGTGGTCACCTCCGGGGCAGGCGGGAATCAAACTCATGCAGAAGTGGCTTTAGCTTCTTAGTGCTGTGCTTTAACCCGCTGCGCCACCAGGGAGGGCCCCTGATTTCGATTTTTAATATACAATAATTATTTTTTTTTCTTGATCCCTTATTTGGCTCCTCTGCATTCCTCCTATAAGTGAAACCATCCGAGATTTTTCCTTTTTCTTTCTGCTAAGCCCTTGTATTTTGAGGGTAACGTGTGATGTAGAGATGCTTAGAATGTTAGGGGGTGGAGAAGAAAAAAGTTCAGTGGCTGCCCTCTAGAAGCTTCTAATCTGAGGGAGAAGCAGCAAGCACCTGCACAGGAGCCAAGCATGCTTAGGAGCCAGTGAGTAAAGACTCAGCTATGATGACATGTGTGGAGGGTCTGGGCCCTCGGGGGTCAGAGGCAGGTGGCAGTCACGAAGTCTGATGGGGGGAGGTTGATGGGAAGCCACGGGGTCCTTAGAAGTTATGTGCTGGAGCACAGGTTACCCATTGATGAGCTGGGAAAACGCCTAAAGCTAGAGACACCCCACATCATCTTTTGGAGAAGCCGCCATCCTTTCCACATACCTGGTTCATTTTTCTAGTGTGCCCTGAGCCTTTTGATAAAACCCAGGAACTGAGCTAGGTGTTGGACAAATATAAGTCCAGTTTGAGAGTCAGAAGTGAAAACAAGTTAAAATTCCATATGAGGCCTGCTATCACCGGCTAACTGGGCCCCTGACTGAGGACTCACCTTGGGCCCAGACTCTGGGCTGGTTGCCCCGAATTGTTCTGATAGATCTGCCATTGACTAGAGAGCAGCATTGACTTGATAGCAAAATTTGAGCTTTTACTCTAATGCCCAGGTCGGGCCCAGGCCTGGCTGCAAGAGCAGCTGGTAGCTGCATGTGGGCTGGTCCCCGGGACTGTAGGCGAGGACTCTGGAGCTGATGGCCGTGCTGGTGCTTGAGTAGGTACTTCTGTGGCTTTGCTGACCTGATCAGATTTGCCAGCCAGCATGAGAACCCTTGAGTCTCCCTCCTTCCCATAGGTTGAGGCGAGCCAGGAAAAATAAAAGTGGCATCATCTAATAATAGTCATCATTGTACAGAGCCTGGCCCACTGCACGCCTCTGTTTCATCTTCATAAGGGTCAAAGCTCCAAAGGAAGTTTTATTAGGATCCTGAGATGAGGGAACAGACTCAAGCAGGTCGTTACTTGTCGAAGCGTGTAGGCAGGTGAGGTGCAGAGCTGGACGCTAAACCTCTCTTCATTTGAGGTTAAAGCCAGTGCTGTGCCCCTTCGTGCTGTATTCCGCTGCCCCTGCCTTGGTGGCTAAGTAAAGAACGGGGGTATTGGATCTACTCTCATGGGCTCTCTAGGAAATCTGTTGGAAGGACCCAGTTAGTGTGTATTTCTTTTTTTTTCTTTTTTTTCTTTTTAAAGATTTATTTATTTATTCGTACAGAATGGGGGTACAGGCCAGAGATGTGGAGGGTGAGAGGATTCACCAGGGACAGAGTGGGGAGCAGAACAGGCAGATCGATGAAGTACACTGCTGAGGGGAGCAGCGGCCAGGTCAGGAGAGGTCTGCCGCGCCATGTGGTCACCTC